CCTTCTGCAGTTGAATGTGATGCTGTTCTATCAGTTCATTGCCAGCAATTACAATACACATGGCATGACAAGGGCAACTGAAATAATGTAAAATACAAAAAATGAAGTCAAAGTGAAAAAAATAAAAATAAAATAGATTTGTTTATTTTAAACTCAAATATAAATAAAATATTTATCAAGTTAAATGTTACTGCACAAGGATGGACTTAATGTCCTATATTATTTAATAAATAAGCTAGAATTGAAATAATACTAGTTTTTATGGATTTTATCGCGTATATTTAACTATAAATACCCGACGTTTCGAGGGCTTTACAGCACCAATGGTCACAGCGGGGACTGAGATGTTCAACGTCCAAATGTCATAGTTAACAGCGGTTACCATAGATAAAAGCTAGTATGTTTGTCAGATATAGCTTGTGCAGATGTGAAAAAATAAAACAAGTTCTTGAGTTGATATACAATCAGTGTAAAAACATGTATAATTATCAGATATGTGCATCATACTTAATAAATTGAAAAATGTTAAACACTTTACTCACGTGGCGCAAATTGTTCCTCACAGAGAATAGAACCCAAACAATGTGTGTGATCTTATTCTCATAAGTGACTTGTCAATGCCACAGCTGATGTATACATGTTCAAGACGAACTATTGGTGCATTTTGCAGGTGGCACAATACACGTTCACTGTACTCGAAACTTGTACCTAATAAAGAAGCTACAATTATTATATTGATATTATTCAAGTAAACTCAGTTATAAAGCATTTCTTAGAGGAAGACATGCCACATCATGATATGTACCAACTATTTACCTGTTGTGTTCGAACCAATTGTTGAGAGATCAACAATTGCATTTTCCAACAAAACAAAATAACACGATAACACGCAATTGAATTCTTGTGACATGACAGTGACAGGGGCCTAGCTGTCAGATTCGATGTTGCCACTTAACTGTCATAAAATCTATGAAACGATATCGATTTTTATTCGATTAATAATATCATAAAAAGAATAATCACCGACGCGTTTTAAGTTCTGCACGCTTTTTAAAATATAATTTCCTTTATTTATTGAAATTCTATTTCAAATGTATTTTTAAGAACAGTTAACTTGTGCTGTATTGTTTTGTTATGCTTTAGAGAATTCATGGTAAATCAGCTAGAAATTAACTTCTTGAATTATCATAACATGATTCCATTTTAAATATTATGTTAAGAACAGATAAGAATAACAGTTAAATTGTGCAGTAGCGTTTTGTTATACTCTAAAGAATTCTTGGTAAATCAGGTAGTAATTCGCTTGTTTAATTATCATAACTATGAATTTGAAGGTTGTCAACGATTTCAACTGAGTCTATAACAACGGTTGTTTTTGTTTTTAACGGTTGAGCACAATGATTGCACAATGATTATTCATTCGCAATCGTCCTCAAACGAATCACCTGGCGTAGGGCTGAGTCTCAACAGATCGCAGCATGACGCTGCTGTACCGAGCACAACACCCCGCCAGGAACGTAAGTCGTCTACAGACTATTCCGAGCTCCGACATCGAACTGAGGACTAATTCGGACCCTCGGCACCGTGGTGCACGTGTTAAGACCGATAACACCGATCGCCGAGATCCAAATGGGCTTCGACGTAGCACCGCAGGAGTGCAGAGCGACTTGTAAAATCACATTGTTTAGAGCCTCTCGACTCTCGGAGCTCCACAGTGAGCATATCCTTGCCGGATTCGGCTAGGCTGGCTTCGGCCTTAGAGGCGTTCAGGCATAATCCCGCGGATGGTAGCTTCGCACCACCGACCGCTCGGCCGAGTGCATGAACCAAATGTCCGAAACTGCGGTTCCTCTCGTACTGAGCAGTATTACTATCGCAATGAAGAGCCATCAGTACGGTAAAAGTAACCTGTCTCACGACGGTCTAACCGCTTTTGATGACTTGAAATGGATAAAAACCCATTCTGTGCAATTAGTTTTTTCTCCTTGGTAATGAATAAACCACAGAAACCCCTATAATGTATAATAGTCCTTTTTTAGATACAAGTAGCACATTTTAAAGAACCGCAAAAACAACTTTGTTATTTATACAAACACTATGAAAAACAAAATAATTTGTTGCTGGCGATAATGATAGTGGTATTTTGACTCGATTTAAAATATATGCTTGTTACTACAGAACTCTTCATGGGCCTGCCAGTCCAACTTTTTTCAAATTTTAGTTTTATTTTAATGGTTTTTTCGTTTAAGCGGAGCTCTTTTACTTTAGATTATTACCTCTTTATCTATAATAATCAATCTGAGTAAGTAAAGTGTGTAAATACGATTCTTGAATTGTAAAAATAATAATTGGATTTCAACATCTTAGGTAGGTATTTAGTTTTATTAATTTAGAAAATATTAATGTCACAATTAATTATTGTAATAATATAATTTTATCACACAACTAACGCCCTCATTAGCAATGTAATGGTGAAAGAATTTTCAAAATCGGTCTAGTAATTTTTGAGATTAGCCAAAAACATATTCATTGAAAGTAGCGCCCTCTATAGTAAAATTCATCCTATATTAGATATCTAAAATTATACATAACAATCTAGTGGTGAAAGAATTCACAAAGTTGGTCAAGTACTTTACGAGTTAAGCGAAAACAATATTCTTTGATAGTAGCGCCCTCTGTAATAAAATTCATCCTATATTAGATATCTAAAATTATACATAACAATCTAGTGGTGAAAGAATTCTCAAAGTTGGTCAAGTACTTTACGAGTTAAGTGAAAAAAATATTCTTTGATAGTAGCGCCCTCTATAATAAAATTCATCCTATATTAGATATCTAAAATTATACATAACAATCTAGTGGTGAAAGAATTCTCAAAGTTGGTCAAGTACTTTATGAGTTTAGCAAAAAAAAATGTTCTTTGATAGTAGCGCCCTCTATAATAAAATGCATCCTACGTTTTTAAGCACCATAGCAAAAAACGATTCAACATAGCCTAACAAAAAGAAAAAGGATGGTTATGTTTTTAAAAACATAACCATCCTTTTCCGTCTGTAGTCGGATAAACAACTGGTTGATAACGGTTGCGTATCGGCTGCGTATCGGCTGCTTTGGATAAATATCCATTGTCAACGGTTGTTTTAAACCTATATCATAACATCATAATAATTATCGAAAAATTATATTAGCATTGTAATAATGACACCATAAGTAATCGACCGAAAAGGGGAATCGATTTTTTGAAGAGATTTGTGATTGGCAACACTTTTTATTTTATTGACAAACTAATGAATTAATGATTTACCTAATTTTATTCTTATCTTTTCGGTACTTTTAATTTGTGCAAAAATATTCCCATCTTTTTTAGGATAAATGAATACCGCGATTAATAACCATAAATAAAGATATATTTTTTTTTAATAAATGCACATTGTTGGGCGTTCCATGGCCGAAAATGGGCATCCCCCTTTGCTAGTAACATCGAACGCTAGACGCCACTGAGCTTCTTTGCAATGTCAACATTTTATGCCAGAACGATTGGTTTTAACTACAAGTATTACGCGAACTGGAGGCTACTGCTAGATTTCCTTGGCTGAAATTGTCTTACAGTTTTAGTTCCAGTTTTAGTTTTAGTTTAACCCACCGTTAATTGCATATCACCGTTCTGAACTAGGGTTACTAGTAATTCGACGTATTCCCGCCAAGGCGTGATAGTTGGGGTCCTATTAAATGAACCATAAAATGCATTATGCAAATGTGGACCAATTACGAGATATTTAGGTTTAATTATTTTTTTCAAAAATCCCAAAAGTCTAGTTAAAGTCAAGTTTCAAAAATCAAAAATTTCTAAAAAAAAAAACTTACAGCTGTATTATTTTCATTTTATTATTTTTACTTAATGAAAACCTGGATACTTATTTATCAATGCTACAGTGTGCAAAAAGTCTCATCATTTTCGAAGTAACGCTACTAAAAGTACAACTTATTCCAAACAGACGATAAGTAATTAAAAATAAAAATGATTTTGTGAAAAATAATTGTATGTGATCAATTGTGCAAATCATGTTAAAAATATCCCTATTTATCTAGCTACCTAAATAAGTATCAACTTTGTAGTTTGCTTATGTAGAAATAGAAAAAAAAATTAAAGAATGAGGTCAGGTAGTCGAGTTCTAAACAGACAAAGGAATTTGTGTTTTATTTTTAACCAATATTAATTAAGGAAATGAAAAAAAGCACTTGATTGAAATTAGCTTTATTTATTTTAACACGATTTACAAATTTTGCTCAATATGGGAGCCCCTATTCCGTATACAGACACGCATTCGTTTTCTTAATTCGCTTTTAATAACGTTTGAGGTTAATGTTCGTCTTATGTCGTTTGTCGCGTTCATAATGCGGTCTCTCAGTTGATCAAGGGTCGGCACTGGCACATTGTCGCAGTACACGATGCTCTTTATGTGCCCCCAGACATAATAATCCATCGGTGTTATGTCAGGACTAGGGTTTGGGAATTCCCGACAATTTCAAAGTCCCGGGACACGAGACAGCCTACAATCAAATTCCCGGGAATTCCCCGGACTTTGAGACTTAAGAACATTTATTAAACAGAAAGTTAAATCTTAATAACTTCAACGTTCGTTAACTTCAGTTGCTTCAGTCTTAATAATTGTTTTGTTTATTTCTTTTAATCACACACACATTCACTTAACAGTTATAAATCGAAATTAGTAAAAAAATCATACTGATTCTTTTACTAATTTACTATTATCTAGTAATTCTAATAACTTTACTATTATCTAGTAATTCTAGTATCTAATATTGGTCATAATCACAACATTGTTAATTCACATAATTACGGATTTGTTTCATAATTAAAATATCTAAACATAAATAATAAACCACAGTTATAAACCAGTATTTTAAATAATCCACTAACACATTATTGAGACCTCTTTTCTGATTTAATAAATTAGTGTATTACCAGAAAACCAGTTTTGATGAGCGCACGTGAGTGAGCGAGACAATTACGTCGCTATTAAAACTTAAAGCATAATGGACAAATGAGCATCATTTCTTCGTTTGATATTAGTTAGGACTTTTAGGGGTTTAAGAGTAGAAAATCGTATCACAATTAACATAAATGTTATATTAAAATAATACCGGTAATTGGGGGTCGACTTGCGCAGTTTCTACTGAGTAGGTCGTGAACTATTATATTTACTCCACAGAACTTGATGTATTGTTCTAACGTCCCCAGGGCATGACTTATTAAAGTCGGGCTCTCATAATTTATTACATGTGGTGACAGTGAAATGTGAACTAGATTTTAGTTTATTAATTTCAATGGGAAATGAAGCTGCAGTTTTCAACAGATTTGACAGCATACAGGCAACTGAACAGACGTATCTCCAAATGCATGTGGCGGGACTAACGCAACTTTAATACTTCTCGTATTGAAGAAGCGATTGATCGGAACCAGGGCTCCAAAGCCTTTGCCGGAGATCTTTCTGTCAGAAAGAGCCAACTGACAAAGCTGAAGACCTAGTGTAGCAGCATCCTTTTCGGGACACCTGAGATTTTGAGTTAGATTGAGATGTTCTATCGGCAGCTGTGCACATTGTCGTTGCAGTCATATGCAGTGAGTAACGATCCAAGAGCAAGTCTTATGCGACACTATTCCGATGATATCGCGGACGTTAGTCTGAGCGCGATTAGAATGGCTCTCCAGCACTATTTTTATGGCAAGGATTCAGGCGAGGATTGAACTTCAGCGAAGCTTCTAAAAGCGGATGGAAAACCGATACTTAAAGTCCTTCAGAAGCTCTTCATTTCTGTCCTACATGGTGGCACTACTCCGGAGGCGTGGAGCAGAAGTGCGGTGGTCTTATTCTTCAAGAAAGACGACAACGCTCTCTTGAAGGATTAAATACCGATTTCCCTTCTGAGCCGCGTCTATTTGCTATTTTTTAGATTCATTATGAATCGTCTCGCACACAGATTCAAAGACTTCCAGCCGCCCGAACAAGCCGGTTTCCGAAAAGGCTTCAGTACCATAGACCACATACATTCCCTGCTAAGCCGGGACGGGTAGCTAGTTAAAAAAACGACCACGAAAGATTCCAATGAGTCATTAACTGGATTATCCTTTGGGTAGGTTGGAGGGTTCCATTCCACCACCACCACCTTAAATTAATGATGAAGTGGTGAAGCGAGTGCACACGATACGTAACCTGAGTGTTGACGTGAGCTTAAATGAGATGGCCAAAATGTGCCCCAAGCTGTACAAAAATAAGACTATTGCTATTAATTTAAATAAAATAAAAAAGAATTTTGTAATAACTATTAACATTTTCTAGCAGCTGTTGAAATATAATCAAGTTTAAAAGTATTTAAAGTGATTTCTTCTCTTTGACGTCACTCTATGGCACCTTTAATGTGGCTATATAATACTTAAAAAGATCAGAGTAGGGGAAAAACAATAGCTAATCTTATAAAAATACTTTATTTATGATACGTTATGTATAAAAACAACCCTTAAATTAATACAATAAATACATAAATTAATGAATTAATTCATCAAAATACACTAAAGGGTAGGATTTTATTCATTTGTTTAATATAGCAACTGCTTGTTGTACAACATGTAGCGTTACATTATAGGATAGGGTTATTTTTCTTTAGTACTTGCAACACTGAATCCGTCCGTCAAGCATCAAAACAGTCAAAGTGTCACTCGGTATATGTTAAATATCACAGAACACTATTACTCCTATCGGAGAAGAACGACAACTTCATACAAAATTTAAAAAATGTGATATATATATACCCATCCTAGCTCAATCTATCGTCAGTCCACCTGCACTTCCCGTGTGGCGGTAAAATTTGAACGTGAGCTTTTTTGGTTTTTGTATTTGAGGTATTTTTGGTTTATTCCAGCGCTAAATAAAAGAACAAAAATAACAAAATTTCTATTTATTTATTGAAAATAAAAATACAAATTAAAATTAAAAAATATACAAAACTTAAGACAAAATTTCTCCGGCAGCTTAGTTCTTTATATAAAGACATTTAATGAGTTTAAACATGAAAAGAAATCAATATTCATGACAATAATTAAATTACTTATGTAAATAATGATAAACATATTATATATATATATATAAGGTTTACAATCATGGATGAATTGATAATATGCATAATCACAAATAACAAAATGTCTATAATAACCAAAATATCAATATTTTAATCAAAAACATGTTATTTAATAAATGAGCTACTACACACAAGTGCAAAGTGCAACATCCACAAATAATAATTTTGTTTGAAAATATTTGGGTCTATCTATTTCCCTGAATTGACACTAAAAATTTTGTCTCCATATTATATGCAATATATTAAGTATTAAATGCAGCTTATAAACAGAATAATTCTGTATAGCCAGTATTTTAATTCAAAATTATAAAACATATTAAATATTAGATTACAAAATTTTTCCTTATGTAATTTTAAAACTTTTCATATAGAGTACTTTCCTTTTCAGGTTCAACATTACATGATATGCTTTGAGGTTTGTGGTTGTTCTTCAGTGGATATAATGTTGTCCTTTTTGAAGATACTCCTTGTGGTTTTGCAGCAATAATTGGCGAGGGACCAGCTTGTGATTCCACAAAATAAATTGGGAATACACTTTGTCAGTCTGGAAATAAATAAAAACTGAAATAAATTATAGTATAATAAGCATATTATATAAATTAAATTAAAATTATATTCATTGACATTACTTTCGTAGTAAACCAGTCCCTGCTCATGGCACTACATTACCCTTCTACCAATACAAAGTAAATGAATGAATCTTGTTCATCAAACTTGCTCTATAATACACCTACTATAACAAAATAAGATAATAAATACAATAACTATGTGAAGAAAAGAGAAGTCTTGTGTTTATCTATTGCTTGAGAACCATTTGATGCATGTATTTCTACTGTGTTGTACATTGTACAACTTGTGCCTATAAGTTTGATAGGTTTAGGACGAAATGTATTTATTCATAGAATGTGACGCCTGAACTATCTGGTTTTTTGTTGTTTTAAAAAATATTTGATTGCTAAAAATAATATGCACAGTGTGTTGCACTTTTAATAATGTAAGTAAGGGCTTGTGCTAAGTTTATAAGATATAAGACTTTAATCCTTTGGATACCTTGTCATATCCAATTATTATAAATTGGTTGAAAGCATTAACAGGATTCAAACTACTGTATGTGTTCTGTCCATCCATGTTAGATCCAGATGATGGTCATCTGACAATCATCATCATCTTCAATACAGTCTATCAAAATCCTGAGTATAGGAATCCCCACATAAAATATCTGAGTAATCCTTAAATAAAACTAATATACATTAATTACCATATACATTATACATTTTACTTACATCAAATGGGACTGCAGTTCTTAAGAGCTTTTTCTTGGTTGCATCATTAAATTAATAATAATGAAAATGTTTTTCATAAAGCATTCTGGGCCCATTATGTAGCTTTGTCTGGAAAGCTAAAGTAGTATACTGCTCTTGGAAAGGAATATAATATTTCGCCCACAATTTACAGCTGAAAACAAAAAATATAATTATTAAATACAAATATTATCAAAGTGGTTTACAAACCAATAATTTGTTTTTAAGTGGTTAAAGAGAAATAATCTTTCATTATAAGTTGGACAAGAGATTTACTTTAAGGTTAGAACTTATTAAATAGTGTATATGTATATTGTATACGTACCGCAAAATATACTTTACTGCGGGTTTCGGAAACCTAAATAATTTAATGTTGTCAACGGTTGGTGAGCTGTTGCACTTAGAACACTTTTGCGGTTTTCTTTATCCGCCATTGCAGCGTAGTTTTTAGATCACTTTTTTGTATTTCACTACGTATCACTGACTAACACATTGCACATCATATAAACGAAGGACATAAATCTCAACTCAACATCGTAAACTTGCAAAATCTTAGAAAAATACACAAGCAAAACAAACACAAAAACCAATCATGAACAATAATAATTTATACGTCGGCGTCATATTAAGAGAATTATGCATAGATTACTGAATATTTACTAGTAATTATGTACTTATACATATAGATGTTTTGATGCTACCAGAAAAAAAAATAATTTTCTACTCATTGAAAAACAAAACATTTATTTTTCTTTTACTGCCAAGCATATGCTAATATAATAACGTAGAAAAATACGACAGGCATAGTTATCTTCCTATGGATTATTATTTCTATATTCAAAATTTCAGAGTGTAATTTATCTTTAGCAAAATATTACTAATTATGAAACAGACATTTATCTGACAAATGGCAATAATAAAATTCAGCCCCCGTAGGCGTTTTATTCTGTCCATACTGAGTTGATCGGGCCCGATAAATATTCGGTAGAATCCACTAGTCAGTCTGTGTGATAATATGTTCGCTTTTCCTTCGTTTTTGTGTTTTATAGTAGTTTACTTTTATTTATAAGTGCCGTAGCCCCACGTGAGTGCTCCACTAATTATAAACGGTACAATACCTAAGTTTAATATAATTACATTACAAAAATAGTTACAAATAATAATTTCAAAGACTGAAAAAAAAAACTGCTGTCCTTGTTTTTTTTTAGCTAAACCAGGTAGGATGCATCCTAATCATCATGCAAAACTTTAAACTACATAAAACTCATGAATTGAAACTTTATTAATATCTACATTGTGTAATAATGATAAAAACCGAGTGCCAAAATCAACTTTTTTAAATCTTCATAACTTTTGTCCACTATTGCGTATTACAGCAGCTACATGCAATTTTCTAATTCTTTATATAAAAGATCTGTATTTTCAAATGACATAGATTTCTTTTCTGTACAGTCTGGGGCACAGGTACATAAAATTTTTGGCGATCTTCTTTGTCTTATTAAACTAATAAATAACATAGTAAACATTTGTAAAAAGGCGCATAGAAATCTAGGATACATAATGCAGTAAGCTCAAGATTTCACTTATGTTAATTACTTATACTTAATTACTTTATACAATACCCTGGTAAGAAATCTATTTAAAAATAATGCACCAGTAAATCCTCCAGATGATAATGATTTCTTATATTTACGCGAACATTGCACATGATTAAAACGACTTTTACGGATTTTATTGCGTTTATTTTTTACTTTTTATTTTTTTTTTAATTCCCGACGTTTCGGGCGCTTTCCAGCACCCATGGTCACGGGGGACTGAGATGACTGACGTCCCGATGTCATTGTTAAACCCGGAGTACCTTCAGCTTTTTTAATTATTGTTTATGGTCCGATCTATGCAAAATGAACTGACTATGTCTTGAGGTCTTGCAGTGGTATGCTTGGGTTTAGTTTTAATTTTATTGATTATAGGATCCCAAGCAGGTGGTAGTACCCAGCCTCCTTCTCTATTGAAATTAAGATGTTTTTTAATTTCAATAGCCTCACGTATCATCCTTGGTAGGAATCGGTGTTTTTTCGCGAGGATTTGTGGTCTATCAAATCTGATGTAATGGTTGGGGCCGTCTAGGATATGATCACAAACTGCAGACTTCCCGGAACGTTGATGCTTCACATCAGCTATATGTTCTTTTTACGCGGGCTTTTACCCGCGGAAATTAAAAAACATCCTAATTTCAATAGAGAAGGAGGCTGGGTACTACCACCTGCTTGGGATCCTATAATCAATAAAATTAAAACTAAACCCAAGCATACCACTGCAAGACCTCAAGACATAGTCAGTTCATTTTGCATAGATCGGACCATAAACAATAATTAAAACAGCTGAAGGTACTCCGGGTTTAACAATGACATCGGGACGTCAGTCATCCCAGTCCCCCGTGACCATGGGTGCTGGAAAGCGCCCGAAACGTCGGGAATTAAAAATAAAAAGTAAAAATAAACGCGATAAAATCCGTAAAAGTAGTTTTAATCCTCCAGATGAAGCAAAATATAACGTCAGATTAAAACAAATACAAAATAAATTCACCTGGATGAGCATGATTTTGGCTATGTCCCGGCGTCACATGTAATGTACGCACTTTGCAGCGCTTTACTTTTTCCGAACGCAACCGGCGTCGATCGTTCGCGAAGTGTATTTTACGCGCGGAAAATAGATACGGGTGGGATGGGAGCAGTCAGTCACCTGTGAGCTGAGATGAAAGATGGCTGCGTTTTTCGATCCCTCACCGCGCCGCGGGTAAGTAATTATTTTTAATAGTAATTTGGAAGTATTTGATTGTGGTTTATAATTATTTTAAAGTTAAAAGATAACCCAATACCTAGATTATTTTGATTTTGTGCTGACCTTTACGGTTTCGTTAGAATTACGTTATAAAGTACGACCGCTACGATCGTGCGGCTCCGGTTGTACTACCGAAACATTATTCGGGAGTGGGTACTGTACTTGATGATTGTTTTTACATAGATTTTGTAATTAATAGTTACTTTTTTTAACGTTTTAGGCAGAAGTTTGAACGAAGATCAAGTTATACAATTGCTGGGCGATGGAAACTTCTCCGACATCGAAGATTTTGAGGACGACGACGACGAAATCCAACCCAGCACTTTCGAAAATCTTCAGTTGAATGATCCAGAGCCTGAACCACAGCCGTCTGTAGCACCGGAGCCGGAACCGATGCAAGATACTCCTGGACCATCACAACTAACTCCGCGCCCTCGATCTTTACGGCCACCTTCTCGAAAGAGAGTTTGGAAGCAGGTACCTTTAGACGATTGTAGTCATGACTATGCTCCCTTGCCCGCTACTCCGGTCAGGACTCCAATGGAGTATTTCTCCGACTATTTCAACAGAGAGTTTTTTGATGAAATTGCCAGATGCACAAACATGTACCATCACAGAAAAACGGGCCTGGAACTGAAACTTACAACAGTTGAAGTAGCCAGAGTTTTTTCAATACACATCATCATTGGATGTATTCCCTACCCCCCGTGTCCCGATGTATTGGAGAGGTGGAATAAAACTGGATATAATAACTCAACAAATGGCTCGTGACAGGTTCTTGACTGTCCGCAATGCATTGCACATCGTAGATGCTGATGAAGCTCCGCCAAGTAATAGTAACAATCCACTGTGGAAAGTACAGCCGATGATTGACCGGTTAAAATTAGCCTGTAACAAACTTGAAAGAGTTCCTGGCTTCTACTCCATTGACGAGCAAATGGTACCATTTACTGGCAGATGTGTACTTCGCCAGGTAGTCCGAAATAAGCCGCGCCCGGTGGGTTTGAAGAACTTTGTGCTGACCACAAGTGAAGGCTTGATGCTAGACTTCGACATATATCGAGGAGCTAAAACCATGTTTGCAGATACATCTCTTGGACTTGGAGCTTCTGTGGTTCTGCATCTGGTGAAAAGTGTACCGCCTGGAAGCTGTGTCTACCACGACAGATATTTTACGACTGTTCCGCTAATTGAAGAGATGACAAAGAGGAATCTTCACAGTACGGGAAAAATCATGTTCAACAGGATCCCTGACCGTACTGCGATTAAATTTAAACCAGATGCTAGAATGGCTCGCGGAGAATCACAGCAGTACGTTTGCGGACCGACTGTCGTCGTCAAATGGAAAGACAATAAGTCCGTTCTAATGGCGTCAAACTGCACCGGCTCGTCCTCATCTTCAATCGTCAAGAGATGGGAAAAACACTTGAAGATGTACGTAGACGTACCTGTCCCAAAAGTAGTCGAGCATTACAACCAACACATGGGGGGTGTTGATGTTCTGGACCAGCAGATGGAGTATTATCGGACATTCATCAAAACAAAGAAATGGACACTGAAAGTACTGATACACTTTCTTGACTTGGCAATTGTCAATTCTTGGCGACTGTATCGTAATGATTGTATGGCAAATAAATTAAGCAGGAGGGAAATTTTGCCCTTGTTAGACTTCCGCATGAACATTGCTGATGGATTGTCAAGTTTGCCGGCAAGAAACCGGCCATCGACGAGCAATATTGAAAATGAACCGCCGCTGGATGAAAATGAATCTCCTCTTCCGAAAAGACAGTACAGACCAGCAAACAAGCCGTCTGAATCAAAGCGGTATGATGGATACGAACATTTTCCAGTGTTCGACGAAATAAAAGCACCTAGAATGTGCTGGTACGAAAATTGTACCAGTCGCACAAAGGTACGCTGCACAAAATGCGACACGTATTTGTGTATCACACGTGGCAAATACTGTTTCAAGTCTTACCATACCAGAGGATGATCTGATAGTTCCTGATTTGCTTTAGAAGCATTAATTAAAATTATTTTTTTATTGTAGCGTACAACTTTAAAAGTTTGTTTTGTTTTGTATATATTTTACAGAAAATTTTGTATCATGTTGCCAAAGGCACGAATTAATGTTTAGTTCTAAAAAAAATTATATGAGACTGAATGATTAAAATAACTAAATAATTAATAAAGAGGCTGATTAAGTATAAGCTTTTTTAATTATTCTTTAAAGTACCAAAACATAGGGCTAGTTTAAATTACCCTCACGATCGTGACTATGTCGTGTACGACCTGCGACTCACGATCGTGCGGGTGGATTTGTGGGTAAGCTATGACCTCGAGATTTTTTAACTGATTTTTTTTGAGCTCTATATACCTAGTAGGAAGCCAACATAAAAGTTTTATGGTTAGAATCTGAAAAAAGTCTCCGGTTGTAAAGGGATAGCTGTGAGCGAGCGTCTCGAAAAATGAATATACCTACTGTCGGAATATAACATCAGTTTGTTAGGTCTTTTAGGAGTTACGCGGTCACTGAAAAAACGAAATAAAATATAAATAAAATTGCATACTTAAAGCAAGGACTACTAATAATTACTAACCTACTTAAAAACTTATATGACAAAAATCATTACCGCAACAAATTTTCCTCTCAACAACAAATTTTTTTATAGCTTTTACGATATATAATTATAAAATCGTATAAATATTCATTCATCTTTTTTGAGCTGAGCAGTTTGCAAACTATGACATTTACTTCTCACATTTTGACTTATTTTTCTAACGTCCCCAGGGTGTAGCTTTCAAAAGTTGGGCATTCACAATGTATTATAAGTTGTGACAAACAAATAATGTTAACTAGATTTTAGATTTTAGTTTATTTTAGCGTTAAGGGGATATCAAATTTCTTTTTGAATTTTACCTTACCTGCACGGTCCCGAGTTCGAACCTTCTGAATTTTCAGTAGCTGCCCGGATTCAGGAAGTTGACGGTGTCTCATCCCCGTGCTGTCTCTTCCCCGTGTGGAAAACAAGTTAAGCCGTTGTTCCTGCGCCTGATCTCTCTCTGGTCGTATCGGTTTACGTCCCATCAAACTATGAGAGTGAGGGAATAGAGAGTGCACCTAAGCTCGCGAATACACTTGGACACTTCACTTCTGTCCCATTCCGATGACTAGTCTCCGTGAGAGCTTGCTGCCGTGACTGAAATTCAGGTCTGTAGGTCATTATTATTATTATTATTAAATGTCATTTTGGTCCATAAAAATAGAGTTTGTAAACAACTTGACTACTGCTGTACCTTTAGGAACCTAGCATAGCTGTGAGCCATGGTCTTGCCAAAACCAATGTATTGTGTGAATAAAACCACAGTCGGTCAAGTTTTTCAACATGTTCATGATCACTAACAGACGCAAGATCAATTATGTGTATAAAGGTGAAAATACCTTGGGGACACGTAAAGTTCGATAACACACTTTTGACTTCCGTTTATCTACTCATGTTGACAGTGCAGTGGTTTCACTTCTCCTTCAAAATCATTTCAGAAATGAGAGAAGATGTGTGGCAAGCAATAAGATATTTTGAGATTGTTATTTTTATAGTGTTAATCATAGTAATTGATAAAATCGTTTGCTGGTCTACAACTCATTTATGCATCTTAAAAATGTGCAGATAGTCAAATGGAATGATCGATTTCGGTTGGTATCATACATCAGTGTCATCTGTGACAATGGCGTATGAAATTCTGTATAATTTTCTTCCCATTTGTGTAGAATTGATGACTTTGTGCTTTACGTAATATATCTTGCTTAACTTAGCTTTAATGGAATTTGTAGTGAAACATGTTTTAGTTTTTGAACGCACCAAGTCACAAGTCGGTCATTTTCATGTAGAATTCCTATAATGTGGCGGCTATTTATGGCTGTGGTACTGAGGTGGTGGTCACTTACCATCAGGTAAGCTCTCCCGTTTGTCCCTCTCTTCTTATAAAAATATAGGATTACGTTTTTTATAAAATATTTTGTTACATTTCATGAATTACAAAGATTGTGTTTACTTTGCCATGGAATACGTAGCAAAATCGGCACCTAAAACTAAGTATTTAATTCAGGTTGCTTTAGTATATTAATGGTGTTTGTGCATGAGTCTGAACTCGGACTGTTCATGTATTTTAAAATGTAAGACTAGCGTTCGGTTCGTTAAATTTTAAATAATATTTCTTGATATGCCTGTATAAAGGAAAGTAATAGACTATATAAGTCCCGCAGCTGAGAACAGATACCTTTCCCTCCACTCCTCACTCACGCCTCCACACTCTCGTAAATGAGTGGAGGGCAAAGAATTTTCGAAGTAATTAAGAATCTAAATGTAGACGCGTTGTCACCACTGAGTTCTAAAAACACTCACCATACGAAACACGGCAGCATTAAGCTGCTATTTTACGCAAGTATTCTGTGATAGTGCGATCCTTCCTGATCAAGCTTTTATACGTGGTAGAGCCATGCTGCAGTTATATTAGTAGTATAGTTGTAGCACGAATGGGTCGGCTCGACCGGGGAAGGACCACGCTCTCACAGAATACCAGCGTGAAATAGTAGCTTAATGCTGCTGTATTTCGTATGGTGAGTGTAGAGAACCGGAGACCCTTTTTACTGGAAACGAGGCATTCCATCTTAGTCCTCACGGGTGACAACGCATCTGCATTTTGATTTGTAATCGAGGATAGATGTAGATGTCTATGGGCCACAGCAACCACTTACCATCAGGTGGACTGTGTGCTCGTTTGTCACCCTATCCTATAAAAAAAAAAGCTGATTCATTTGTGTTGCAACTATTCCATACAGCTTATATTTTTTAAACTTATTTAGGATTAGCAGTACTGTGGCTCTACCACTATTGTCATTTTTCTTCTACAAATCATCCTCACCTTCATGTATTGCAAAACGCTAATTACGGACGAGGTTTTGGGAGTCAACAAGATTTTTGGATGACTATCTATTCAAAAACCAATCACGAACCCACCCACTCAGTGTATGGCCTAATCTCGAAAATACATGAAAACGAATACCTATGAGTTGGCTTGTTTTTGAAAAAGTCTTAGTGGTTCTTTGAGAAACTTTGTCAAGCGGGAACCTCATGAATCGAAAGTTTCAATAGTGAATGGCACACATATAGAGTCATATCTCAGAGACTCATATTTGTGCTATTTACTCAGTTCAGCTACCTCTGATGACACTTCGTCTTTAAATGAAAGCAAAATACACATAGAATCCCACTTTGTCTCAAACAAACTTTGTCTCTCTCCAAGAGATTAAAGCCTTACCCATCGAGTCATCTGCCATCGCCTCTAAATATTCCACGAGTTTCTAAAACCAAAGGAACATTTGTAAACAGAAAAGCCGTTCTCGTAACATCGTTCAGAGAACTGTGATGGCACAACATACTAGAGACCTTTTATTATATGAAAGTCCGTGGTGTCCA